CGTGCAGTGACGAGCGTGGAGGTTTCGGGTGAGCTGGCAGGAGCTCAGCGTCTTGGGGACCTCCAGCATGGTGGGATTGTGCCACAGCCCTGGGCGAAGGGAGGGGACACATCTGTGACCCTGCTGATGGCAGAGAGGCCAGAGTGGCAGTGTGGCAGGGGAGGGTGGGAGCCCTGTCCCCAACCCTGCAGAAGCTGTTGGTCAGAAAGGGACGTATCAGGGTCGTGGCGAGACATGTCCTTCCCGCCTCCCCCAGCCAGGGGCTGGTTAAATTTAGCCTTGGCCGTCTCCCAGGCGCCGCTCCTCCTGCTTTGGCTGCCAAGGGCTGAGCACAGCCTGGACCCTTATCAGCTGGAGATGAGGGCTGGGCAGGGTGGGAGAGGGCCTGGCATAGGCAAGTGTCCCTGCTCCCCAGTGAGGTGGTTGGGATGGGGGGGACACCAAAATGAATGGCCCCAACCTAGCAGCTGAACTGCCTGTGCAGGGAGGGATGCAGGAGCAATGATCTTTGCTGCTGTCCCTGCCTGGGACCCCTTCCCTGAGGGGACCCTGAGCTGCCAGACCCTACCAGCCTGCACACCTGCCCCACTGGGACCCCCAGCCAGCCCCACAGCAACCCCCAGCTGCTCACAGCATCCCACAGCTGGATGCGCCATGACCCCCATCAACCCCACAGCCCTCCTGCCCCACGGTAACACACTGTGGGCATCGCCACCTCTCTGCTTGCAAAGGTCCTGTCCCTGCACTGCCCCATGCTGCAAGGACACCCCTGAGCCCTGCCTTGTCCTCTGCGCCCCCCAGCCCGGCCCGTGCGCATTGTCAACAAGGAGGAGGCGCAGAGCCCGCTGGAGGTGATGGAGGGGGACAGTGTGACACTGGTAGCCCGGCTGTCCCCGGAGACGGCAGCAGTGCAGTGGCAGAAGGATGGACAGATGCTCTGCTCGGGCGGGCGGCTGCTGGTGTGCAGTGAGGGGCCCACGCGCAGCCTCACTATCAAGCAAGCAGAGTTGGGTGATGGCGGCATCTTCCTCTGCGATGCTGGTGACGACGAGGTGCATTTCACTCTGCACGTGAAAGGTGAGCCTGGAGGCGTCCCTCACCCATGCCGGGTGGCAGCAGCGTTCCCCTGCCCCACACTGGGATGCTTTGTGCCACCATTCCACGCTGGTGCTGCCGGCAGGGGCATTGCTGAGCCCGGTGCTCCCTTGGCACAGAGGCACCCGTGCTGTTCGTGAACAAACGGGAGGAGCAGGAGAAGCTGCTGGTGCTGGAGGGCGG